CAAGAAAATTAAGGAATACAGATTCTGAATCCGGTTACAAAATAATTGTTACTCGCGGATAATTCATAAACCTACCTTTTTGTGAGTCTCATGTGATAGATTGCATAGCAAAAACTTGGGTGACGTTGCAACAACTATAAGATATTTTAATAAAGCTTAAATAGAGTTTATTTTAGGTGAAGAAAATCATATAATTGATCTTTTACACAGGCTTGAGATTGCGAATTTCGAATCTAAAAACCATATTCTTTGATATAATTATTGACATCATAATATTCATTCAAGAAATTTTATGTCATACATCATTAATATCATTATCTTATGATTAGCTTTCAGGAATTACCAAACTGATTATTTTCGCAAGTAAGTAACCGATTATTTTTGCACCTTAACATTTACGATAATTGGTGCAGTCATCAAGGGTTAGATTCCAACCATTAATTTTCCAATTAAACATTGCCTGACATGCATCTGTGAGATTTCCGTATATTGCAATTCTATTTATGAGACCGTTATTAACACCACCTCCGCCGTTTTTGTATCCCCCTTGAATTAAGCAATTTGCAGGGGAACCAACCGGATTATTACATTTAAATCGTTCAAGACATACAAATTTCCCAACTCGACCGAATGCCTCCCAATCACAGCATAAGCTCTTGTCTCCGTGTTCACAAATTGATTGGATGTTATCAGGTTTACACACCACAACACCGTAGAAGGTAAGAATATGACTTGCAAACGATGCTTTTAGCCCGGGTAAAAGCGAGTTACCGACATCTACATCACTATATTGAGAGTCATTAAAGTCAATGTATTTGTCAATTAATGTATAGTTGACTCCATGATTAAAGGTATCATCAACAATGGATTGTAAAGACGTTAACATGTCAGTTTCTGCTTGATTCTGAAGGTCTCCTAAATTCCTAATAGGACCCTCCGATTTCCCTCTGGATCCAAGATTGGTTGCCCACATACTGATAGCACCTGAAATAATTCTTTGCATAAAAAAACCAAATTCTGCTCCAGCGATAGTGCCGAGAGGTAAGATAAATGGTGCGAAGCTAATAGCACCAATAATAGTTGAAAAGATCAATAAAATATTAATGAGCGCCATTTTGGGACCAGTATCGGCATGAGGAGTTAAATCATCTACCATATTAGGTAGGTTTATGAATTATCCGCGAGTAACAATTATTTTGTAACCGGATTCAGAATCTGTATTCCTTAATTTTCTTG